GCTCTTAAAAACATGATTCTTCTTTCTGTGACACACTGCGATCGCGGGTCGATTCTTTGACACGACTGGTTTAGTCAGTCTGTTTGGACGGTTCGTTTCACTAAAAATCCGACACTGAAAGTTAATGGGCCTGAGGGGCTCTGAAGTAAGACTAATCTGTTATGATATAGTATCAGAGTGTAAAATGCACTGTAACTCCGCAAAATCCAATATGCGCGAACAAACTAAAAATTTGTAAATTTGTTTTTCGCTTTGGTGGCAACACTGTGTTCAAATAAAGTCACGCAAGCGTGTTGAAGTTTTCTTTCAACAACGATGCAAGTCTATGCGGAAAATGTTTCAAAACACATAATGCGGTATAACTATTAGCAAGCAGATGGCGCTCCATACTAATTATGAAATGAATTTGAAAGCTCGCGACTTTGTGAGTTGCATAAAAGTATAGTTAAAATTTATATTTATCTATTCAAATTAATCTCTTTTTTCTGTAGTCATTATTCTGTAGTCTTGTTTCGCACTATAAATAAGTTATTATTACCATAATTTCCGAAAAATAATCGATGTGAAGGAGCATGAAGCAGATGAAAGAAAGATCTCTCCAATTCAAAGAAATCTACTGGTCTAAATTATGATTCATTGTTGAAATTTATGAACAAGTTATTTATTTTTCAATCATTGGCGAAGGCGGAAACTGAAATCTTCAAATGAACCAATACAACATCAAAACACAATCAAGCTAAGCCGTCATGCATAGATCCAACAGAGACAAGCTTAATGGCAGAAATCATGTTTTATCCGAGAAAAAAAAAGAAAGAAACATCGTCTTAACGTCTTATACTGTTGTTTCCACAAAAAACGACCAACCAAAAAAAAAACACTTTCGATCCAAAAAGTAACATTCACAAGCCGCAAGGACGAGTTAACGGAGTTGCTTTCACGTCTCCGCATTACCACCATGGCAATCTAGGAAACCAAGCTGAAAGTTATGGGATTCTACAGGCTAAACCGCGTGGCATTAGCAGGCGCGGCCCTCCTAATGAGGGCCGATTGAGGTTACGATGCGTTATACGAACAACTGAGATCCCTCGGTTTACCTGCCTCCGCAGAGAAACCTACAGAGAACCGACATAGCGTAAATGTTCCCAGACTACTACTCAACAATGTTCATTGGCAATTTCAATATAAAATCGCATGAATGGAATTGTATGAACGAAAACCGGAGAGGCTGAAGGCTTGCCAGGCTGCTAGAAGATTTTTAGTACACCGCGTTCGTCCCCCGGAGGCTCAAACCCCCAAGCGCCATAGTGCCATAGTGCCATAGTGCAGAACATCATTAACTCGGAGATGAAAACGCTTGACGAAGATTCCTCGGATCACAATTTCATCCTAAATACAACAGTGAAATGTGAAGTGGAGCCAAAGAAGAGGTTCCTCCACTGGAGCAAATTCCAGCGCACCGTCTACGACGCGATAGGAAACATCTTCTGCATCGAAATAAATATCGACCTGGAGAAAGCCACAATACGACTCCAACAGGCGATTCTTCAATCCATCTAGCAAAGCACGTGGACTAAAGCCACGCGCTTCAATCTACACCGAAACAAATGAAACTTATCAGGATCAGAAGGCGCCTGCAGAGACTATATCAACGGACACTCAGACAAGAGATACATGCACAGAGCCAGCGGGCTTTTGCGGCGAAAGTTACAAACACTTAGAGACAATGGGCAACTCGTTTAGCAGAACTCAACACCGAGGACCAATCTTCACGGAAAATGCAAGAAGTCCTCCAATACAAGGAGAACAAGGTATCGTTTACACCAATCAGAAAGAAGTTGAAGCATTTGCTGGTGATTTCGAAAGACAATGGTCCCCATTAACGACGAGGTGGAACGCATCGAGAAATAAGTCGAACAAACGGTGCACAGAATAAGACGATAGCGAAGGGACAACGGTCAACCCCTAAATCCCACATCCCCGAAGGAAGACAGAAGCATCGTAAGAAGCGGCAATGGTGAGCATCATCAACGCTAGACTCCGAGTGCAATACTTCCCGTATTTTTTTCAGGAGTCCCTGGTCATCATTATCCCAAAACCAAACAAGAACCCCACATTCCCCGGTAACCATCGGTCGATAAGCTTGACCCCATTGATAAGCAAGGTAGCGAAGTTCTGAAATGACTTGAGGAACAGACTTAAGAGCTAAACATCTTACTAGATGAACAGTTCGGATTCAGGCCGGAACACTCAACGGAACTTCAAGTCCTGAGTGTGGTTTATTAGGAGACAAAAGGTTTCAACTTAGGCAGAGGATACCACACCGGAGCGATATTCCTCGACGTCTCCAAGACGTTCGACAGAGTCTAGCACAATGGATTTGTGGTCAAAATGACTAATTTTTGCTGATTCGTTTCTAGATAACCGACGATGACAATGCAGAGGACAGAAACTCCCCTCCAGGCGACTTCAGTTCTTTCTGCTGTAAATGGCAGACGTGTCCAAGCCAGAGAATAACAAGTTGGCTCTCTACACAGACAACACAATGCTGCTGGCAAGATATACCAATCATGCACTAGTTACAGGATACCTGCAACAACAAGCGGACATATTAGAGGAATGGACTGATCTCTGGGAGATTTGTATCCACCCTGACAAGAATTACGTGATACTATTCACCTGGAGGAAGGTATACCCAGACACGTCGTTTTCAACGGACAGGAAATTTCTTGGACAAACGAGGCAAATTTTCTGGGAATCACCCTGACAGAAAGATAACATTCAGGTCCCATTTTACACAGAGGCTAGAACTGGTGGAAGTCACTCAACACAACCCCTACTCTACCATCGCACGCAGAAATAACATGGATCTCCAAGTAATACTGCTTCTAGTCGAAAAAATCCTACCACACACCATCCTGTATGTCTTAACCCCTGAAACTAATGCGCAGAAACATACAGGCTTCAGGTTTATAATCGTCTGCTTACGGATTGTCGTAGAAACCTAGATACATACATACCCCTACGATACGGGACCTGGATCGTTACCCCCAGTACGTGGATGTCCTCCAGAGAAACTACGCCAAGAACATCTAGCGAATTCAGACACACCCTAACCCAGCGCTGTGTGATCTTTAGGACGCACTGAACATAGGACAAGCCCAGAATCCGCGAGATGGACAAGCACATGAAGCCGACGTAGCAAAACCAGAGACCACCTCCGAGAGTTGCCTTCCGGTAGCTCCGGTAAGTATAAAAACATACACAAGCTCACATATTAGTTCTGCAACACACACGCGCGTGCACACACACACAGTAACAAACACACACACTCGTCTCCAGCTAGCTTCAGGGGACCAACTGAATACCCATCGTGTAAGTATCTGCAACCTTTCTTGTTCCAGACTCTCAAGGTTGCAAGTGATGTTCGTGTCTCCAATCAGGCGGATGTCTCTTTTCTGGGTGGAATCCAGCAGCTTCAGGGTATGCTTAGGGGCGGACCTCCATACATGAAAATAATACTCCAAAGGTCTGATCCGAAACCATGCAACACTATCATTTATTCTCACATCAAATACTTTTAGAAATTATTATGGGTACAGGAACATGAAGCGAGACTGCATCTGCATGCGATACTTTGATTGGTTTTCTATTAAGGGGAAGTCTCGGGGTCTCTCACCGGGGATTCTCCTGTGGATTGCTGAGGCGAGTGGTGTGATGACTGATACCTAGGACCTTCTGCATTATTTTTTAGCTTTCAGTACATTACCTACATCATTATTATCTTTTCTATTTCAGTAAAACTGTTTGAATCAAAAGTGAAAACTATCGAGGAAATGAATATTTCGAAATACATTTCGAAATAATAATCTCTCCCAACTACTTACACAGTAGGGAGTGGTCAACGTCTGTCGAAAAACGACTACTTAATCACTCCACTCCATTTCAAATTTGATCGTTTCAGTGCAAGAGAGTTCAAGATCATCAGCATTTATAAAAGTTCATGTTTGGTAAAAAAAATTTCAAAATTAATTTATATCTTCTAAACGGTAATAGATAGGTATAGGGAAATAGTAATGAATTTGTTGACAAAGTGATAATGAATCATAATATGATATTATATACGGGGTGTTCTATTTGAAAAATCAAAGAAGCCGCTACTTTATGATAGAAGCGACAACGCCGCTTCCTCTAAAATATTTTAGGCGTGTAGGTCATATTGATTTATGCATACTGTGAAATTTTCAGGTTGATCCGTTAAATAGTTTGTCAGAAACGGTTAATTAACGCTCATCATGAAAAGCCCTGTATACTGTGTTAAAACTGTTTTACATTAAACATACAATAATATTTTCCGTTTTGAGAACAGAAACTAATTAAAATTTCATTAATGGGTGAATACTGGCTCAGATCATACACGGATTCAACCAATTATAGTTTGTAAGTAACATGATGAACAATTATTACCACACACAACATGTGGTTTGTGATTCTTTTGAAATCTGGTTTTCCGTTATTTTCATTGTTACACGTGATCAATTTTGAAATATTCACACTCTTCTACTTCTTCCAACTATAAGTACCGGCAAACCTATAGTTTTTTAGGGCTGCCGCCCATAGGAACATGTCTAATGAAGTTAAAGGTAGTTAAGTCCGCCCCTAGGAACAGTGTTTTAACTGCCGAAAATGATTTTCCGATGCTAATAGAAGCTCGGCTCACTTGCAGAAAATGTTATTCTCGTAAAAAATATTTTTTGAGGTTGATTACCAGATATTTCGACAATTAAATGGTGTATGAGTAACTGTGAAGAGGAATCAAATTAATCTGAACGATAATTTTCCACAACATTTTGTCACGGACATAGCGGTAACAAGATAAACTAATCTCAACGGAATTTCTGAAAATCTTGGTATTTCTGTCTAATTCCTCTGGAGTATGACGAATAGGCTCGAACCCCACTATGTAATTAGAGGTAGAAGGCAAGGTAGGATGGCGATGGCAGAACTAGAAAGCAACAACATGCTTCAGAAACGAGAACGTCCATCGTCGGTGAGGTCCGCGCTATAAACATTTTTCTGAAATTCGGTCAGTTATGTGATTCGCTCCATAAGATAATTCGTAAACGCACAAAAAAAGAAACGATTTAGGCGTTGTCAGTGCGAAGACACAATGACAGGTAGAAATCTAGTGATTATTCTCGGATTTGTGGTTGTGATAGTGTCGAGTGCGGGCGCTGAGGAATGTCCACAAGGAAATTGTACTTCTCCGGCATCACATAACAATGGTGAGATTCTTCGTAGATACTCCAGGAGTGTGAGACAGAAAGACCATGCGGTCTACGCAGAAGCGGTCTAGCCCGAGGCCTGCGATTTTGTTCTAGATATCCGTATACAAGCGACCTTAAGCCTAGTATAAATTCAAGACAAACCTTATTTCAAAGAAATTGGAAAATATTCTATAAATCAGTCCTGTTGAACAATAACATGATTTCAAAAAAAGTTGTCATTGATTTGAGAAAGAGGGGAATTTTCATATAAAATTTGAGTATCACGAGTGAGTCTTAATACTATCCATGATAGTAATTACATAATTTTCACAATAAATTTTATTCAAGACGCGTTTCGCTACACAGTAGCTTCATCAGTTATACTCGTGAAGTTTCAATAGATTCAACAATTGGAAAACGATTTTACTATTGATTTGTCAGAAGATCGAATACCTAATACAAAGTTTAGAAACACTAGTACTGTAAAACAACCATAAAATAATATGATGAAAAATTTCTCAATACAGGGGGAGAAATTTTTTTCTCTTATGCCACCCCTATTCCACATCTCATGCTATTCAATGAATACTGTAGGCTAAGACCTTTCATTGAAGTTAAAATATAAAAACAAATACATTTTAAACTCATTGTAAATCCTTGTGACTATGAAACAAAATACGAACCGGTGTTGAAGAAAAATGAGCTGATAATTGTTGAAGTTTTTGAGATGAAAAAACTGTTTTGAATTCATTCTCAATTCAGTATCATTTCAATCGCCCAGCAAAGAGATCAGAAATCACCTAGGACATCTTGCTTTCAATTCCCTATTCAGCAATAACTAAGTAGGCAGAAAGACTTGATTCTGGATTTAAAGAGTAACAGTATATAGTAAAGCTATAAAAGTAACAGAAAAAGATCTCAATGGAAAAAAATGTACCTATTCTATGATAATAGCTTGTGAGTGAAGTAACAAAATATTCTTTTTGAACAATGCGAACTCTGAATAAACATTAATTTCTGAAGTGCGCCTCTTTCAGTTTTTTGGTGATTCATTTATTTACTATTTAGATTATGACAAGATATAAGATCGGATCACATGACCGCAATTCTTCATCAATTAAGTCTTCGAGGTCATCATAACGGATCGGTTAAAAAGAAAGACGGAATGTCAGAATATAATTTTAAATTACTGACCTGGTTAACAACAGAGTTTGGGACTCATAATCGATGGGGGTTTAAAATATATTTGCGAACTCACGGGAATAGATTACCCCTAAGATTGAAGCATTTTATGTCGATTATTTGTGATAGTATAATACCTTGACGAAAGACAAAACGTATCTGAATCTCAACCAAATGAAAATATACACCAACACTTGTTTCACTATAGGTTACTCATATTATTGCCTAAAAAAATATTGGAAATATATTTTATATACTTAGTAGCGAGCCGGCATGACTTCGGCATGGCTTTCTGTCATATTTTCTCAGCAACTTGTCCATGAAGAAGGTTCCCGTTTTTACCCGAGGAGTGTGCTTTTAAAGACATAGGGGCTGGTAGTTTCGCCTTCTGAAAAGTTCTGGAACAGTCAGAACATTCGAGAGATTCCGAAAGTTCTACACAACATTTCAGATCATTTTGGAATGTTTGAGAATGGTCTGGAATGTTCTGAAAAATCCGGGAAAATCTCAGATCACTGTGGAATGATCAAGGAAATTATATGGCGTGATAGTCTACCTGTAACTATGGTTTCTTATCCAAATAATACTTTAGTGTGAGACTTTCACTGAATAAAATCGCAACACCAACTATATTACCAACAAATTTTTTCTTAGTATTTGATTTAATTTTCATTTTCATTATTTGTGAAATTATAAAACAACAATAAAAATTAAAAACAACAATAAAAATGAATTGGCGCTCCGGGGCTGCAGGAAAACCCGGAAAAACCTGCAGCACCACATCATCTGAAGATCTTGATTTGCCAATGTCCTCCCTCTCATAAAACAAAATGTAGGGTGTCTTCAGAGGCTCCAATAAATTCAATACATCGCCAGAACACTTCGTGACACGACTTTCGTCTTTGACCAAGGCGTAATAATGATCAAATTCAACGCCAGAACCGCAGTGAACAATGACTGCATGAATATCATAATAGTGGTCTGCTAGATTGAAGTGTTCATCTATTTCAAACCTTCGAAAGAGTTTGGTGCTTCCATCAGAGGTTGAGTCTTGTTTAAAGATCATCTGTGTTATTATTAGATTGACTGGTGCCTTAGCTATACTTGTTTCCTTAGTTTGGCGCATGTTTGGCAATACAGTCGATTATCACCTGTTAAAAATTCCATTTTCAGATTATTTAACCTTACGCTTTGCACGGACTGGTTATTAGTCATATAAGGAAACGTTAGATGAAGTTCCAGATATAAAAAAGGATGTGTTAGTTTGATGCAAGTGGAAAATGTGTGAACGCAAAACTTTTCCCCGGGAGAATACGACATTCATGAGAGATTTATCAAATGATAATTGTCTGTTTATCTTGAAGGATGCTAGAATGCGACAGGAAGTTATTTCTGGAAACCACTTAATCCTAGACTGAATCATTATTATCGTTATCATTTAGATATAACAGACCACGAAAGAAACACAATCTTGGGAAAATACATTGAACGATATTTGATATTTGAATGGTAATTGCGGTTCAACATTGTTCTATGAAATGCATTTCCATTGAAGGTTTAAAATAATTCTTTTCTCTTCATAAATGCTTCTGAAAGTATAAAAATCCTTTTCACTGGCTTTTTAAAACGAATTTACAAATTGATTAATCCAAAATGGGGTTCATAATCTTTGTACCTTTATTTCTAAAATAAATTTGCAAAGATCTAGAACGCTAAACTTAACTGTGGTTGACAATATACACAAAATAATTGAAAGTGAAATGAAATTGTTATATATTTAAAAATCTGTTTTTCCGTTAACCAGCTGTCCCCCCCTACGAAAAACTCAAAAGTCGAAACTTGTGCGAGCTGAGAACAAACGAGGTCTTACCTTTTAACGTGTGATTCCTAACACAGGTTGGACGATAGCAAGTACGGCTTGCGGCTTGAACCACCGATTCACACAGCGGTCGATTGAGTAAGTGGAGCAAAGCACCCACGTCAACCCGAACGACTACCGCCCTACCTGTAATGTAATAGTTGATTTGATAACTTGAAAATATAGATAGATATCAAGTTTTCGCATATACAATGGGGTGCACGGTATAATGATACAGTGCATTCCAGATAAAACGAGCCGCCCTGAAAAAGTCATTTGATATTTAGCCTGTGAAAAAATAGTGTGACATGTCAATTTCAGTTTTCATAGGGAAACATGTCTACGTAAAAATCATCTCCTTATCAGTTACCTCTTCCCCATAACATCCCTCAGGTCAAAAATTTCAAATGGAAATAATAGTGACACTTCAATAGTCTTCAAAATAAATACTTTCTGAAATGGCTCAGTTTTTTTAATGGAAAGGGGTACATTTTTAGGGATCATTTTTGGGAAAAAAAGGTTTTTGGCTTTCCACTTCTTCATCCTTATACAAAAAATGTGGGAATCTTCCAAAGAAAGAAAAAAAGCAATTGATTTCAAAATGAAATATTTGCAAAGATTTGTAGATCAAGCAAAGCAAACAAACTGAAAGAAAAAAATCTATCTCGAAACAATTGCTTTTAAATGAATATTGAATTATAAAAAAAATACTTCCCTCTGTTCGGTTTGTATTCCAAACATTCGTTATGGACTTGAATCAGATATCATTCACAGGAGTGCTACACTATATAGTATATGAAAGAGGTGAAATTTCACTTACATCCCTGTCATCCTCAATGGTAGATACCAGGTGAATCTTTCAGTTTTAAAACAAAAGAGTACTTCAACATTAGGTAATATTATTGCTTAAAAACGCATTTGTTGTTGAACAATTTTTTCTGCTACTATGAATATTAAGGAACGATTTTTTTTAAATCATAATTTCTATTTCTCTCAGAAGTTCCAAAAAAGGATTTTATGACCCAGACTAGTGGAGTATAAACGTTTTCAGACTTCTTCATTAACACAAATTCCACCCTTACAGAATTAAAATGATTCATGAATTCAACGAAGATGATTTCTTTCGTCTGAAAAGTTGAATTTTGTGACATCCTCTCGAAACGTGTCAACCGTAATCCAACTTTGTTGTGCACCAAATGTTTCCAATTCTGAACTGATTCAATCCCCAATATGGCACGAATTAACTATCGACGGCACTAAATTGGCTTTTAAAAAATTATTTTATTGCAACAAAACTTGAAAATAAAAAATTATAGAAATACAAAATATATAAAATTATACGTGTTGTTACTTTGGGGAATGAAATCTGACTAATTCTGGATGCGAAGAAGTGTGCTCCTGCTAGAGCTGTCTTGTCAGCATCTGGAACAGGGTGGTGGTACAGCTAGATCAGCGGAATTGTCCTTGGTGGTGAGATAATTCACGTCAATTCAGACCAAATTTCCCCAAAAACTAAAGGTTTGTGATGAATTTTTGGTAACCATGTTATGGAACCATTCTTTCCAGAAGCAACCTTGAATGGTGAAGAATCACCTTGCAGGTTTGCTGAAAAATCAAGTTATACCAAGCATCGTCATCCAAATAGATCCTGTATTTCAAAATACAGAAGTTTCTCAACAAGATCGACTGATTCGATCTGTTTATCTTCAAATTAACCCTCTTTTTGCTAACAATATTAATAATAATATGAGTTTGGAGTGTCTATATGACAGAATGGTACTGGATATAGCCTGTAAAGTCGTCAGGGGTTCGGATCCCCTTCTTCTCTGCATGATCCGTGACCATGAGAGAGCAAGAATTGGGGCATTTCTCTTTAGGGCAGCTGCTCGAGCAGCTTATGAACTCTGTTTAGTTTTCGACACTGAACGAGGTGACCACAACTCTGTCAGCGAGTTGGAACCCGTTCAGCAAAAAGCTC